GTACTAATTGTTGTAGGCTGGTGCTGCTTACCATATTTTTCATGATATTTTTCTTTTTAATTCCCGTCATATGTTTACAAAGATTGTGTTGTTCACCTATTTGCTATCTGTAAAGTATGTTTTGTGCTCGGAGTTTCAATGCTTATATTAACCTTCAGTTACTGCTATGTATATTTTACTTCGTAATCCACTTATTTTAGAGTGCCTTGGTATATTACATTGTTTAGTAAGCAATTTCCGTTTAAGGGACTTTCGTTCTTTGCTCTGCAGTTTGATTTGTGTTGGTAGCATGTTGATTCTTTTTCTGCTGTGCTTTTTTATTATTTGCATAATCTTCTAGTTTAATCTGTAGCTGATATTTCCAGTATTTTTGTTGAATATTACCGTTGAGAGAACATCAATGAGGGAAGTATTTGTGTATAAGTTTAGTGAATATTTTTCTTATGTTTTTTGTTGTTGTTGTACAGGGATTTGAATAATATTATGTTACTTTTTCTGTTGGTTATTTTTTGTAGCGGGTTGTGTTGTATGTGAGTGCTGCCGAAACTCCACTATCGTTCAGGGCTGTTTCATAATTTTTTTTTTGGTTTTGGTGAATATGGCTTCGTTGGAAGAATTGTCAGATTAGCTACGTTGATTGATTGTGAGATCTACTTGATTATTATTGGCGAAACATGTGTCTTTCTATATGGTTTATATATACCTTTCTTAGACTGAGTGTAACACCTAAAAAATGTATCTCTTTTAGGTTTATTTCTATGTCTATGTCGAATCCCATATTTTTGATATTATGATTATATTTCTGATTTTGTGTTTTTGTATATTACAGCTACTAGGATTTATGATATCGTCATTTTTCCTATTAGCCATTATTTTAGCTAATGTAGTAAATTTATACATATAAGATCGCATCAGCACCATCAAAACTTCCCTCTGTAACGTCAAAGGTTCCTTCTTTTTTATCCACGCATCTTCGTGATAGTGATAGTTGAGAGTGTTTAACAATTCTTATTTCGCTTGGGATTATCTTTATTTGTTCTTGACCGAAGAAGATGATCTTATCTAGCATCGGTTTTGTAATAGAGGGTAGAAATATTTTATGACTAGTTGCATAAATTTTAGGTTGTGGAACCAGTCTGTAGTTGTACATTTTATGTTTTTTTTTCCACTGGTTTATTCCTAAATTCGTCCTTAATTCTAAATTAATCTTTGCGAGTATTATTTTCCTTATTTTATTCAGTTCATTTTTGATTGGATTTATGAATAACGTTTGCTTTGAAGATTTCTTTCCAATATTTTATGCCAATGAATATTTGCGATTTGTCGGTTAAATTTATTCGTTCATCCAAGTTAATGATGGGTCGATTTTTTATAGTTTCCATGTTTAATATCGTGTTCTGCAGTTTTTGGTGCTTTTTTCTCTCGAGTAGTTTGTTGTGTTTAATCAATAGCTTCTATATTAATAAACGATCTGGTAAAATATTTGAAGACAAATAATGACCTACTAATAACAGTAAGACATCAAGGAAGTCGATAAGTTTGTCTACCTGGGAAGCGTCGTCAGTAAAGTTGGGCGGTGGGACAGATGAAGACAAATCCCAAACACGCTTTCAACACTCTACGGCCAATCTGGAGATCAACAGCCCTCCTCACTTTGCAACAAGATCCGGTTCATCAACACCAACGTCTAGTCGGTCCTATTTTACGGCTCAGAAACCCAGATCAACACCCACAAACTTTAGACATTTACCAACCGATGTCTCAGGAACTTCCTTAATATCAGGTGGCCGGAAGTCGTCTCCATCGACCATGTGTGAGACAGGCGCAGACAAGCCCCAATCGAGATTGACATCAAGAAACAGAAATGGGGATGAATCGGCCACACACACCGCAAGCCAGCTTATAGTGCCATCAGGCAGGCCCTTGACTGGAATCCACTAGGGAAACGAAAAGTGGGTCGACTAAAAGAGACATGGCGCAGAAGGGTTGACGCAGAGGTGAAGGTAGCCGGCACAACATGGGGAGAGCTGAAGAGGATCGCCCGGGACCACGTCCGTTGAGGAGGTGTTGTTGCGACCCTATGTTCTCCACGGAATCAAAAAGAAGAAGAAGAAGAAGAAGAAGAAGAAGAAGAAGAAGAAGAAGAAGAAGAAGAAGAATAATTAAGGTCTCAATAAAATGCACATTCAATTTTACCAGGATAGTAAACTCGCATTAATTTCGGACTCTTGTCCTCATCTTTGTTATCATATTCAAAACGTTTCAACTGCTGAGCCCTTTCGGCCTTCTTCAGGTGATGGGAATTTGTAACCGACCCCTTTATTTCGTCTACTGGAGTGGAGTGTTCTAGTTCCACGTGCCATGGCTCTTACGAATATTTCACGCTCAGTTTCACTTATTTCCCTATCGTAACGCCACTAGATTTTCTTCCACTCTGCTGTGACCAGATATTGACCTCATAAATCTTTGGGTCAAATCACTGGATTAGATCAACCAGCTT